TGAGTGGACGGTCATCGTACAGCTGAACCATGGCTGATTTAAACCTCCCCCTCCCACTGGCAGACGTGGTGACTGTCGTCCACACTGAGGCACGTAGATCCTGCCACCACAGGCAAGTACTCCTGTAGAACAAATTCCTGAAGGTGGAAGTCCTTCATTGAGGGGAGAGTACATTTGAATTGTTGTGGATGTCACCAAATTGCCCTGCAAACCAGCCGAGCCAGTTTGCCGGCCCAAAAGCGTCATAAGAGAATTCTTACTTCTGAAAGCTCTTTTATAATCTGCTTCAGTCAATATGTTCTTACTCTCTTAATATGTTAACAGCTTGCCCAGCTAATTGAATTCACCCAGAAAGCCTCTCTATGAGTGCACGCCATGTATTATGCCTAGCATTATTGTGTATTATGCCTATTGTGGAATATAGGAATACCGCCTAAAATTGCATTTAAATTAATATGTAAAAGTAACAATGTTTTCTTTCTAAATTGCTTTCTGATTTTAGCTGCCTTACCGATTGCTAGTCAGTTGGAAATGGATCCTTAAACCTTCATGCTAAGTTTATACACCTCCTCTTCCCCATTCCACCTCTGCACAAACTGAACCTCGAATATTAACAATCTGATATTATTGTAAAGTCGTATCCTCCCTAGCAGTCACCTCTTAGAAATGTGTCATAAGAAAATAATTGGATGTGAGATTTTTTAATGTTTGCATGGAAATTTTCATGGTAGCTTTGTAATAGTGAAAATCAGAAAGTACTAAATGACCAAATTCTGTAAGAAAGATTATTGGCTTATACTTTATGGACAGCCGTAGAATGTAGAACTCTGCAGCCAGCATGAGAAGTGAAGGGTCTGTGTCACCTCAGTACGCCTACGAGCGTTACACGGCTTTATATTGTCCTGTCACCTCTGCTGCCACAGCCCAGTGCGCAGCAGCCTCTCCCGATAATATCTCAGCAGTTTGTCCTTAGCCCCCTCTCCTCAGGAGGACTTTGTCTTGTTCATTTCGGACCTCATATTCATTTGTTTCAGACCTGTCATCGTAATGCCCGCGAAATGGCTATGAGGATGAAGAGGCTGGGTGTGGCTGTGCTCATGCGTGTGCATGCGAGCCGGGGCAGAGGCTGGGTGTGGCTGTGCTCATGCGTGTGCATGCGAGCAGGGGCAGAGGCTGGGTGTGGCTGTGTTCATGCGTGTGCATGCGAGCCGAGGGACACCACTTTCTCACATACTCCGACCCCTTGTTGTTGGGAAGGAGTCTTCTTACCTGACTGCCCAGGAGAGTTTCTGTGGTAACAGTCTCACACCGCGTGTCTGCACCATCACTGCAGACTAGACGGATGGGGGGTGGTCCCAGCAAGCCTGGCTGCTGAGAGACTTAATCTCAAGAAGGCCCACAGGCACTGGTCATTCCTTGTGAGAGGTGGCTATACCCTCTGCCATCACCCATCTGGTGGCTTCCCTCTGTGTTCTCTGTCCATGCTACATTGGTCTCCCATGAGCCCCCACTATACACTCCAGCTACCCTCTGCCACCCGGCCTGGATCCAGCGAGGGGACAGAGATACCCATAGCGCTCAGGGAACCTCAAAGGGGTGGTCATTGCTCCTCTCCAGTGGCTGCTCTCCTTTTCCGTTGCCTTCCCTTCCTTCCCTACCATTGACCTCAGCTCTAAGCTGGTAGCTTAGCATGAACAAGGGACAAGACACCAGCTTCTCCTCCTTATAGTCACCTAGATATTTAATAACCAGTTATACTGAGGGCCCCTTCCATAGATTTGAAAGAGAAAAATCTGGTAAGCATCCCTCCATCTGTCATCCACTCATGGGACAGTAAGAGAAGAAAGACTATGTCCATGGACACTGCACTGCCCCCCCCCCACACACAGACACAAGTGACCTGTGTAGTTCCACTGCCCCTCTAGCTTACCCTCTCTAGCTCTTGGGACATATGGCATCTCATGCTAACAATTAGGTTTACTTCAGAGTTAGCCCTAAAGAATTTAATTTGGTTCTTAATAGGGCACAATCTAGGCTCTACTCTTGCCATTATCTGGTTGAATCTGCACACACTCAAGCCCGTTACGAAAGCATAGTGGACACCTGCCTATACTGAGAAGGATAGACATCCAAGTACATGAAGGGGGGAAACTCAGGCTCTTTAACACATGTCCAGTGTGATCTGAAATATGTAGATTTTCATGCATCTAAATATGTACGTGCATGTAAAAAGAGATCTGGAAGTTTATCTCAAGTGTTAGTAATGGTTATGGTGGAGATTATGAGCTGTTCTTGCTGATCTATCTATCTACCTGTCCTTTAGTACCATATGAATTGTCTAAGAGAGCCAGCATAGATATGGAAGACGCCACATCCATAAGGCCAAAGTCACTAATCAAAGAGAAAGCCTGTCAGAAGCAGAAAAGCAGATCAGGATATCAAATTTAACACCCAAAAAACAAAAAATCCAGTGAAGAAATGGGCAAAAGACATGAACAGACACTTCTCCAAAGACATTCAGATGGCCAACAGACACATAAAAAACTGCTCAACATCACTCATCATCAGGGAAATACAAATTAAAACCACAAGTGAGATCCACCTCACACCAGTCAGAATGGCTCACATTAACAACTCAGGCATCAACGGAGAGTGAGGATGCAGAGAAAGAGGATCTCTTTTACATGCTGGTGGGAATGCAAACTGGTGCAGCCATTCTGGAAAACAGTATGGAGGTTCCTCAAAAAGGTAAAAATAGAACTACCCTAAGACCCAGCAATTGCACTACTAGTTATATATTCAAGGGGTACAGGTGTGCTGTTTCAAAGGGGCACATGCACCCCAATGTTTATATCAGCACTGTCAACAAGAGCCAAAGTATGGAAAGAGTCCAAATGTCCATCAACACGTGAATGGATAAAGAAGATGTGGTGTATGTATACAATGAAGTATTACTCGGTGATCAAAAAGAATGAAATCTTGCCATTTACAAGATGGAGCTAGAGGGTATTATGCTAAGTGAAATAAGTCAATCAGAGAAAGACAAATACATGACTTATGACTTCACTCATATGTGGAATTTAAGATACAAAACAGATGAACAAAAGGGAAGGGAAGCAAAAAGAATATAAAAACAGTGAGGGGGACAAACCATAAGAGACTCTTAAATACAGAGAAGAAACCGAGGCTTGCTTGAGGGGTTGTTGGTGGGGGGATGGGCTACGTGGGCGAGGGGCACTGAGGAGGGCACGTGTTGGGATGAGCACTGGGTGTTCTATGTAGGGGATGAGTACCTGGATTCTACTTCTGAAATCACTACTGCACTGTATGCTAGCTAACTTGATTGTAAATTAAAAATAAATCAAAACAAAACAAAACAAAAAGAACAACAGAAAAAGAAGGATCGTTAGTGTTTGTGGTGTTCTACTGGTTGATGAATAAATGTTGGCATTTCTTGAGAAAAAACAAAGAAAAAGAAAGTGGATCGTGAGCTGTGCACACAGAACTGCCGCTCATCCAAATAAGAAGGAAACTTGACTTTCATGTAACAGGGGAAGAAAGCAGAGCTAGAGGCAGCCCTCGTTGCCCAGCTGTTGACCATAACCTGCTACGTACGGTGCAGACCTGCGGAGGGGCTGATATCCGCTTCCCAGGAAGGGGCTTTGCCAGCAGAGATAAGGAGAAGACCAGCCGGCACGTGGAAGAAAGCGGTCAAAGCCAGATGTCTCCTTACAGTGTTTTCAAAGGAGGGAGAGAAAAATGAAAACGGTCTAGATCATTCACACACCAGGTAATCATCCTCTAAATGACTGATACTTAGCTAAATGCACTTCTTAATGTCAGTTCTTCCAAACTTGCCTGGCCTTAGTTTTTATACAAGACAAACTACACTTCCACATGGTTTTCAAATTCAGAAAGTTCAGGAGAAGGGCAATTACTATCACAACCCTTCAACTATACTAACAGGCAGAGATTTCAGCAAATACTTTCCCACTGAAGTATTTCATAAGCCAAAAGTCCAACTGTTATTATTGGGCCCAACATTTCCAACCTGCTTCCACGCTCAAAAAAAAATTATTTTTCCAGCGATCCAAATTTAGTGAAACTGCAGCCATCGATGTTAGAATACATCTGTATGCCATAATGCCAAAGTTTTAAAATATTTCTCACCTCCACTCAAATATTAAAACTAGCATGACACTTGTCAAAACATAAAAATGTTTAAATGATGCTATTTCTAGAAGGCAGTATAGGGGCACTGAGTGGCCGGTCTGGGGTTTGTGATCTCAGGTAGTTTTGTCTTGTGTCATTGTCAGGTGAGCGGGGGTCGCCACGACAACACACCGCAGCCTGGGTGGCTTCGGCGACAGAGATGGGTTTCCTCACAGTTCTGGAGATGGGATATCAAGGTGCCAGCAAGGCTGATGTCTGGTGACAGCTCCCCCCTCAGGGCGAAGCAGCCGCTTTCTCCCTGTGCGCTCACACGACCTCCGCCCTGGGCTCCTGTGTGGAGAGCGAGCTCCCAGGCATCAGCTCAGGACCAACTCTTACAGCCACACTTAACCTTCCTTACCTCCTTACTCCAAATACTGCCACATGGGGGGCTAGGACTTCAACTTATGAATATGGGGGGGCATATATATTCAGCTCATAACATCAGATATGTGACTGAGAAGTTATTTAACCCCTCGAAGGCTCAGTTTCCCCATTTGTATGAGCCACCCAGGAGCCCCCCTATTTTACTCTTTTAAAAAATAAGTGTTGGGGTGCTGGGGTGGCTCAGTTGTTTAAGTACCGACTTTGACTCAGGTCACGATCTTGTGGTTTGTGAGTTTGAGCCCCGCATCTGGCTCTGTGCTCTCAGATTCTCTCTCTCTCCCCCCCACTCCCTCCCCCGCTCATACTGTCTCTGTCTCTGTCAAAATAAATTTTAAAAAATTTAAAATAATAAGTGTTTTTGTTTGGAGGAAAATAGACAAATTTCAAAACACTATGCTTCGGGGGGCTTCATTTTTAAATGGGTTATTTTAGAGCCTTTTTTGGCATAGACGTTCAAGACCTCAGGCTCCCACAGGTTTGGGTGCACCTGGTGAAGAGCTAGGAGGTAAGGGGCACACCAGGAGCTCGAGCTCACACCCGCGGCCCCCGCCCGCCGGGCCCTCCCTCGGGGCTCGCTCTCACAGTCACTTTGGTGAACTGTCAGGTCTGCGCCTCAGCTGCTTTCCAGATGCGACCCATCAGCGGAAACTCCTGAAATCCTTCCTTAGTCGTTTCCTTAAGTTCCCACCCACTGTTTTCCTGGTTTAAATGCAGTGGGGTTTTGAGATGTTGCCGTGTGTGTGTCTGTGTGTGTGTGTGCACACGTGCGTGTGAGATGGGGCAGGGGAGGTTTGTGACGGGCCAGCCACAAACTAAGTATCCAGGATTGAATGTATGCGAGGCTGCCCTGGTGGAGTGTACAGGAATGGAGCCAGGAGCCAGGAGGGGGTGGGGGTGTGTGTGTGAAGCTTCCAGAGAAATGGAAGCAGCTCCAGCCCCTTCTGTGCCTTCTGCATCTCACCACACACTCAGGTGGACGGGAGGGTCTTCCGGGAAGGGCAGGTCGTCGGACAAGGACCCCAGTCCTCGCTTCAGAGCCTGGGACTCGGTGCTGGAAGTGCTTCAAGCTGCAAAACAGGCATGATCTTCTCTAAATGCATACATTTTCCAGCAGTGTGACAGGGGAATTCAATAACACGTGGTGAGGCAGGGATGGCCCTGAGCCCACCCGACAACAGGGACCTGTCGTTTCACTCCGGGGACCTGGCGAGGTGACCACCCACACGCAGCGTTGGGCGGAGGAGGCAACGGCGATTCTGAGCCCGGGAGGGAGACGGCCTTCCTTCCTGGAAGCAGGCTCGCTCCCTGGAGGAGGGCTGAAGGAATGTGTCTGCACTGGTGACACCCCAGGCTGGGCCACACTTGCTGAGGTGCGGAGGGGAAGAGGAGAGAGGTCCCCAGCCCCAGGGGCCACGCGGCTGTCAAAGGCCGGTGTCAGCGGCTGCGGGGACAGCAGGGACCGTACACTGAGCCCCATCACCTTCCCTGGGACACCAACGCGATAGTCCCACGCGGTCATGTGGCGGGTGTCCTCGGGCCTCGAGATGAGAGTTCTGACTCAGTTTCCCCTCACAAACCCAGGGGTGGACACTTGGTACCTACCCCAGGTACTCTGACGAAATGTGGCACAGCAGGTGAGTCTCCAGAGAAAAAACTGCTTTGCTATCACCCTGTACTGAGTAACCAAACTCAACGCACGGAAACCACGTGTACGCATTTAGGCGCTGAACACGTAAGGTCATGAGCACACGTAAGACAGGACCACGGACGGGAGACGCCGTGATAAACAGTGCACAGTCCCCCAGGCAGCTAACGGAGGGCCTGGGGCACCGTGGGTTCACAAGGCCATCGGCCAGGAAGAATATCAGGTCAGAGGACAGAGGGGCAAGGACAAATGAAGGTCACCAGTGTCCCTGCATCTGTCTGTCACCACATCCAACCAGGACAACCTTCAGGGAGCACCGGCCACCGCCTCTCTTCTGCCTCCCACATCTTGTGCCCCTTCCTCTTTGGACGCACCCCCTCCCGGGAGCATACAGGGAAGGGACTCTGGGAGGCATCCCTCCGGCTTGAGCACAACATGGCACGTGGTCTCCTGGCCACCACCCCCACGGCTAAACTACCCACCGTCCTGGGGAAACAAATAGGCTTGTCAACCTAGCATCTGACAAATACTGAAATGAGCGTTCCATGTAAGTTCACGACATGACTTGGGGGTCATCTCCACCCTGATTGATCTTAGATGGCCACCAAGCATTTGCTGTCACTCACAACCACCTATGAGTTAGAACCTACAGAAATAAAAAGCATGGAAAAAAGTTAGGGGCATCTGGGGGTCTCAGTGGGTCAAGCATCTGACTTTATCTCAGCTTTTGATCTCACGGTTTGTGAGTTCCAGCCCCGCGTCGGGCTCCGTGCTGACAGCTCAGAGCCTGGAGCTGCTTCAGATTCTGTGTCTCCCTCTCTCTCTGCCCCTCCCCTGCACCTGCTCATGCTGTCTCAAAAATAAATAAACATTAAAAAAATTAAAAATGGGGCACCTGGGTGGCTCAGTCGGTTGGCCATTCGACTTCGGCTCAGGTCACGATCTCACGGTTCGTGGGTTCGAGCCCCGCGCCGGGCTCTGTGCTGACAGTTCAGAGCCTGGAACTGCTTCAGATTCTGTGTCTCCCTCTCTCTCTGCCCCTCCCCTGCTCATGCTCTGTGTCTCAGTCTCTCAAAAATGAATAAACATTTAAAAAATAAATAAATAAAAATAAAACGGTCATTTTATTGTATATCACCCTTATGCAGGTCAGGAGTCGGGGCAGGCCTGCCCTAGGCAATTTTTCACTTCTGTTTCATATGATACCAACTGAGGTTGGTCAGTGGCGCCCACCTGGTGGCTGGGCTTCTCTGCAGGGTCTCAGATGCTTTGCTCACACGCCTGGTCTCCTCTCTCCTGAGCTGTCGGCACAGAGCCTGACGCGGGGCTCGAACTCAAGAACCGTGAGATCATGACCTGAGCCAAAGTCAGACGCTCAACTGCCTGAGCCCCCCAGGGGCCCCAAAACGACCCCTGTTCTGGGGCCCACGGGAGAGGATTCTTACATGAAACAGAGTGTGGAGGCGGCTCCAAGGAGGCCGGACGCATGCAGGTCCCAGAGAACAGGGCGGAGCAGCTCCGAGCGCCTGGCGGGGATCAGCTGGGGCCCAGAGTAGGTGCGGTCAGGTCCCTTTAGGTGACGAGTCTCAGCTGGTGTCACACTGAAACTGAAGCAAAAGGCTGCCCAGCTCAGCCCTGCCCCGCTTCCTGACCCGCCCCATCGTGGCTAACAGAGAAACGCAAACCAAAACCACCGGAAAGGTCGATGCTGCTACATACCCAGGAGGGTGGCAGACCTTTAAGAAGACTGGCTGCCAGACGAAGGGTGTGGCCCCAGGGTCCATCGACGGGTGAACGGACGAGGAAGCGGCGGCGCGCCTGCGCACTGGGCACACAGACGCAGCCATCGGAAGGGACGGGGTGTCGCCGCTTGCAACGGTGTGGATGGGGCCGAGTATAAGCGAAATAAGCCAGTCACAGAAAGAGAAATGCCGCGTGATCGCACTTGTTTGTGGGATGTGAGCAACAAAACAAAGGAGCAAAGGCCCAGGAGATAGAGCGAGGCAAGCCGAGAAGCAGTGTCGTCTGAACCGCGGAGAGCACGGGGTGGCCCCGGAGGGGGCGCGGGCGCGGGGGGCCGGGCGGGCGCGGGGGGCGCGGGGGCGGGGGGCCGGGCGGGCGCGGGGGGCGCGGGGGCGGGGGGCCGGGCGGGCGCGGGGGGCGCGGGGCGGGCGCGGGGCGGGCGCGGGGGGCGCGGGGCGGGGCGGGGGGCGCGGGGCGGGCGGGGGGCGGGGGGCGGCCGCACGACAGCCGAGGCGCTGAGGCGCTGTGTTGCGTGTGAACACGGTGTGTTAGCCGCGCGGGAATCAAAAGGTAGGAACTTGCTAAAAAATAAAACAACATAAAAATAAAACGCCTGGCTGTACAAGTGCGGCTGCGGAGGTGAGGACGAGGTGGAGTCCGGATACACCGCTGGTGGGAATGTGAGGTGCGGCCACTTGGGAAAACGGTTAAACATATGGGACGCCTGGGTACTCAGTCGATGAAGCGTCCAACTCCTGATTTTTGCTCAGGTCGTGATCTTGCGGTTGCGAGTCCGAGCCCTGCACCAGGACAGTGTGGAGCCTGCTTAGGGTTCCCTCTCCCTCTCTCTCTGCCATTCTCCTGCTCATGTGCACGTGCTCCTTCTCTCTCTCTCTCTCTCAAAATAAACAAATAAATATTTTTTTAAAAGTTAAACATATACTTACCATGTCGCCCAGCCACTCCACTCTTAGGTATTTATCCAGGAGAAAAGAAAGCTTACGTGCTGCAAAGACGGAACCGGGAAGATACCAGTAGCTTTATTTGTAACAGCCCCGAACTGGAAACCATGTAAACGCCCATCCATAGATGAGCAGACAAACCGTGGCCTAGTCATACAAGGGAACAAACATGTAACAGTGTGAATGAAGCTCAAAATAGTCACCCTGAGCGAAAGAAGATAGGCCAAGAAGAGAATATATATTGTATGATTCCATTTATAGAAAACTCTAGAAAATGCTGCTAATCTATAGTGAAGGAAAGAAAATCAGTGGTCGTCTGAGGTTCAGGGTGGGACAGAGGGGAAGAAGGAGCTACAGCAGGGGCAGGAGGGAACTTCTGGGAGTGATGGGCACGTCATTACCTTGACTGTGGTGCCGATTTCACAGGTTGTAGACATGGTCAAAACGTATCAAGGTCTATGGTTTAAATATATATAATTTATTGTATGGTAATTATACCTCAATAAGACTGTTACTATATAAATATACATATTATACATGTATCGCATATATACATATATGTCTAATCTCTCTGTTATTTACATATATATGTGCGTATCAGAGTTTTTCAAATTGATTTGGCTATGATCCTTTTTCTCTGCTCACCTATTACCCTAGTTTGCAGAAAAATGGCTTATGCAGATACAGACCTAGCACTGACCCTGGCTGCACTCTCCTGCTGGCTGTATGCCCTTCAGTATTTCTTGCCCTTCAGCCTCAGTTTTCTTGTCTGTAAAATGGAGATGTGCTCAGGACTTAAATGCTGAATTTCAAATGCCTGCCCCATTGTAGGTTCTTAAAAGCTTTAGTCCACTAACCACCCCAGAAATCAAGCCAGCCATGTTTACAGGTGTCCCTGATTGCATTAACTTTATTTTCAACTAAAGAAACCAGCATTCAGTCATCTCGAGTCCAAAGGTCCAAAGGGAAAGATGTTGAAATGCTCAGCATTGCCTTGCAGGCCCATCTGCTCCACATTAGCTGGTCTTCCTCTGTTTATTATTCCTGGTGTTAAGTCTCCTCCAATTCTTGTGTGAAAAGTCCGGACACACAATAACCTCTTTATCACATTTTCAAAATCTGGGCTTGCTCTGGAAAGTTTGCACCTTTTTCTTGTTGCCATTGTTTTCATGTGGATTTGGATTTCTGAAAAAGACCTTTGGAGCACTGGACTGGAAACAGTTATGTGCACGCTGGATACAGACAAAAACCATCAGAGAAGGAAAATGGGGTGTCAGAGGAATCAGAACTGCCCCCCTGGGCTCTGTGCCGTTCACCGAGGTGCAGGCTGGTGGTCAGGGGCCAGGGCTGCTTGGCCCCCTTCCTCAGCCCCTCTCCTTTGGGGGCAGAAATTGAATAATGCCATAAAGATACAAAGAAACATGCCAATGTGAGAGTATAGAATAAAAAGTGCATAGAACTATAAAAAATAAATATATCATAGTAACAATATTGGTTGCCATTCATTGAGCGTCATTTGTGCTCAATAGCATTTACTAAATGCTATTTTTTAAAAAGTAATCTCTACACCCAATTTGGAACTCAAACTCATCACCCCAAGATCAGGCGTCATATGCTCTACATACTGAGGCAGCCAGGCACACCTAAATGCTATTTTATTTAAACCTCAAAACAAGCCTGTGAGTTAAGTACAGAATCAGTGAGGACTCATTCAGTCACAAGTGACAGAAAAGTCACCTTAAAGTGACTCATAATATAAAGGAGTATTTATTGGGTATGTCAATTAAAAACCTAGATTTAACCTTGGCTTCAAGTGAGATTTGGTGCAGCAGCTCTCTCCCTCTCCTCCCCTCCTTCCTATTGGCTTTCTCTCTGGGTTTTGTGAAGTCAGTCTGCAAGTCCCAAGCTTTCTCACGGTGGCAAAATGGCTGCAGGTGCTCCAGACCTCACACTTTTACCCCACGTCACTCAGAGAAAGAGTGAGCAAGCCCTAGAATTTACTCTCTCATGCTGGTCCCAAATAAGGGGTGTGTCTGTCCCTGAACACCTGAACAGATGACTGTGGTGGTTGGGGCAGGGGGTGTGGACCAAAAGAAGAGATAAGTAAGAGCCATTGACTGGATTAAGGCTTTGAGGGTCGGGGAGTAGCCCATACCCAGGAACTAGGGGCCAGGACAATCCCAACCAAAGCCCATGAAATTGCTAAGGGGAAATGGGTGCTGGAGACATGCTTACAAGTGTCCAGTCTTCGTTCATCTCAAAGATTTGGGGGCTGGTGATACATCAGAAAAGTAAACAAATTCCTGTGGTGGCTGCTGTTGATGCCACCCTGCCCCCGCATGCGCCCTGACCCGCCTGCCACTGTGACGGCCACCCCGTTCGTGGGGACTCGGTGCGCCTCTCTGCTTTTCACCTGAAGACCTTTCCTGGCGCTGGAGGCTGGTGCAGCCTGTGCACAAGGCTGCCCGGACGCGCCAGAGGCTCAATGCCACCTGAAGCCAACAAGGGTCAGGAGCTGGGGACAAATGCTCCAGGCTTTTGCTTTTAATCTCTAGGTAGAAGATCTGGGGGCTGGTTTGACAGGGCTTCTCAGAGGATCTCAGAAGGACTGACCTCCAGTTTCCAGAGCAGCAATGAGCTGATTAATGTACCCCTTACTGGTTTTTCCCCCTTTCTTGTCTCTCTCTTGTGCCCCTTGGGGTCCCCTCCCAAATGAAGAACTGGCACCAAAGCCCTTGTCTCACGGTCTGCTGTCAGTGGAGCCTCAACTCAGACCCCCCCCCCCCCATCCTCATGGGTTCACATTCTGCTGGCAAACAGAGACAGATAGTAACACATTAAAAAACTTTTTTTTAATGTTTATTTTATTTATGAGAGAGAGTGAAAATGAGAGTGTGAGCAGGGGAGGGGCAGAGAGAGAAAGGGAGACACAGAATCTGAAGCAGCTCCAGGCTCTGACCTGTCAGCACAGAGTCTGATGCGGGGCTCGAACTCAAGGACCGTGAGATCATGACCTGAGCCAAAGTCAAATGCTTATCTGACTCAGCCACCCAGGTGCCCCTAATTTTCTAAAAACTTTTATTTATTTTGAGAGAGAGACAGAGAGAGAACATGAGCAGGGAAGGGGCAGAGAAAGGCAGAGACACAGAATTCAAAGCAGGCTCCAAGCTCTGAATTGTCAACACAGAGCCCGGTGCAGGGCTCGAACTCATGAGCTGTGAGATCAATACCTGAGCTGAAGTTGGATGCTTAACCGACAAGCCACCCAGGTGCCCCAGAGGGAGACAGATAATAAGCAGAATAACTGAGCAAACTCTATAATGTTCAGTGGGGATGGTCATCATGGAGAAATATAAAGTGGGGGAGAGAGGTAAAGGACTAGGGTGGATGTGGAGCTGCTATTTTATACAGAGATCCAGGAAGGCCTGGATTAGTTAGTTAAGCATCTGACTCTTGATTTGGCTCAGGTCATGATCTCACGGTTTGAGACTGAGCCCCATGTGGGGTTCAATGCTGACGGTGCAGAGCCTGCTAGTGATTCTCCCTTTCTCTCTCTCTCTCTTCCTCCCTCCCTCCCTGCCCCTCCCCCCCAAGAAAACAAACAAACAAACATTTTTGAAAAGGAAGGTGATGTGTGAGTCAAGAACTAAAGAAGGATATCAGGCCAAGCTGCCTTATCTAAGTTAACAAGTGACCCCCAGGTCAAAGTGGCTTCGAAGTTCATTGCCCTTGTGTGTCCGTTGCAGATCAGGACTTTGCTCCACGCACTTGCACTTAGTAGCTGGCTGAGGAAACATTGCTGGCTGTCATGGAAGGCAGAGAAATAATTCTGGAAGGTCTTACAGCAGCAGGTTCGGCTCTGAGCTTTTTGGTTCTACTCATAAAGCGTGTGTAGAACTGGTCGTGTGACCCACCAACCACAGAGGATGAAGGGATACAATTTAGCAGGAGTCTGGGTGGCAGAGAGGTAAACACGGGACACAGTCCTTCTCACTGATCATCAAATATTTGGACAAAATATAGTCACCCTCTCCCCAAGAGAGGGAAATGTCAGTCACGGCACCAAACTCCAAGTCTGTCTAGG